AAAATGCCATGATAGCCACAGCTAGGTGACAATACTTTATAAGGGTGGGCAAGTTTCTCTGGAAGGTTGTACAGGCTCTGAATTAGCATCCTATGTACAGTGCTATTTCTCCTATAGCCAGGATCCATTGCCCCGGAATTAAAAATGGAATCGGATGTGCTGGCAGATGCCTGTAATCCCAGCACTTGGGAGGGTGAGGCTGAGTCGCTGTGAATTGAAGGCCAGCCTGGACTACATTGTGAGTTGAGGACCAGCCTGTCCAACATAGCAAGACTCTAAGTAAATAAATAAATGAAATAAAGAAAGAAAAGAAAATGGGAGCTCCATGCCATTACCTCAGGGGTAATTAAAGCTTTGCTTCCTTACATATGACTGTACACTCCGCGAGCCTAGAGGTCTTGGTTCCACAGGGACAAACGTTTCTATTAGGAGATGTGACAATGATTCCATTGAAGTAGAAGTTAAGACTATATCCAGTTACTTGGGGGTTTCCATGCCTCTAAATCAACAGGCAAAGAAAGGAGTTACTGTGATGGCTAAGTGATTGGTCCAACTGCCAGGGGAAACTGGACTGGCATCCACAGAGTATGTGTGGAATACAGCAGATCCCTTCAGGCAGCCCTTAGTACCACCTTGCTCTGTGATAAGATCAGTGACAACTACAGTCAGTCAAGGCAGGATCACTAATGGCCCAAATTCTTCAGGAATGAAGATTCTGATCACCCCACCAGGTAAAGAACCATGCCCAATTATGGCATGTTTGGAAGGTAAAGGGAATGCAGCGTGGGTAACTGAAGAAGGTGATTATAAATAGCACCCATGACCACAGACCAGCTACAAACAAGTACCGAAACTGTTACAAGTATTTCTTCCTTATTTTTAAATATATTTGTCTTCGTCCCTCTTTTATTTTCTTATGCAACATAAATGTCTTGACTTTATGTCATGGTTTTTAGTCATGTTAACTTGACACTGCAATATTTAAGTACAATATTTAAGTACTATAGATATTAAGGATTTCACTTTTTTTCTGGATTTTATTTTCTGTTCTAGTGCATATATTTGTTGTATGCAAGAGAGTTGTGTATGGCAGAATCATGACCTTCTTATTGTCTTTATTAGGAAATTAAGTATACAGAGCATCGTGGAGATGCCAAGTTGACAAGGATAGACTTGTGATGCTTAATGTTATGAGTCAACATGACTGGGGCTGGATATCTGGTTAAACATTACTTCTCAAACATCTGGAGGAGTGTTTCTAGGGCAGCTTAGCATTTAAACTGGTAGGGTATGTAAGCCAATTGCTCTCTGCAATGTGAACGGGCCTCACCCAACCAGCCCAATGAGGGCCAAAATTAGATCAAAAGGTACAGAAAGGTTAAGGTCATCTCTCTCTGCCGGGCTGCCTGAGCTGAGACATTGCTTTTCTCCTGTCCTTGGACTAGAATTTAAATACCAGTGCCCCTAATTTCAGGACTTGAGATCAGACTGAAATTTGCACTCCTAATCTCCTGAGTCTCCAGCTTGCAGATAGAAGAGTGCAGGACTTCTCGGCTTCCATAACCATGGAGCTAAATTCTTACACAAAATGTTTTCTTACAAAAAACACTGCATAAGAAATTTCACAGGAGGCATACACACATACAAATGGTTCTCCTTCTTTGCAGAGCCCTAGCTAATAAGCTCTCCTGTCTGAATAAACATCTTAAAGTCACACAAACTAGGTAAAAATTAATTTTAAAGAATCTGGCCGCCAGGCAATGAGGATCAGCAATCCCGAAGGGACCCAGCACAGCACTTTGAGTTATCGGGCTTGCTGAGAGATGAGGGACCCCAGCAGAGCTTGATGAAGTCCATGGAGCACATGGAGCTGAGAGTCCAGGGAGACTAAGGCAGCTAGACCTTTCAGACTGAAATTCTGCATGGAGGGGAAAAACCCTGGAGATGGGCAGAGAGTCTCTTTTGCATCTTGAGAATATTATTAGCATGCATGAGGAAAATACCAGAACATGGGGAACATTCATTTGAAAGGACGAGACCTCACACAGAGCCGCAAACTCTGAACACAACTCCTTCCCTCTAGCCAGACTGGAAAACTCGTAATTTACCTCGCACTCATTAGAATGGTAGAAAGCAAGGGCTTGATTCAACAAGGAAATAGTCCTCAGCCTTCTTCTAGACCTTCCCCCCAAAAATTAAAAGCAAGACTCAAAACTTAGACTTGTTTTCAAGTAGTTCAACTGTGTCCTGGAATGAGGCTCAGGAGTATTTAGTGTTGCAGAGGCATCTGGGGAAGCAAAACTTACAGTGCCTGGCATCTAATAAAAACAATGACCAAGTAGATAGAGAATCAGGAAAAGACAACCTGTAGTTCAGAAGTCAGTAAGTCAACCCACTGTCACTGCCTCAGCCCCGTACTGCAGGTGACCCCCTCAGTGGAGGACTCTTTCTCATCCTCAAGCTGCCGGCCTCAAGCACGCTGATTTCCACCTTCGTGGCCCCACAGTCCATGATATTCTGAGAAAGGTGGACCTCAGCCTGGCTCTTTCTGCCCCAGCCCACAATAAGGAAGGCAGAGACCTCTGAGTGCCTAGCACAAGAGGAAGCAGGTCTCTATCAGCGTCTCTCGATGTCTACAGGGCCGGAGAGGCTCCCGAGAGACCACCACCAGGGTCCACACAAGGTCCCTTCGGGTGGGATGACAGTCTCCAATAGTGAGTCTCGCGGAGGGAAGCCTCCGTGCTGGTGTCCCTCACTGATCACATGCAGCTGCCTCCCCTTGAGTTGCTGCCAGGCTCTGAAAACATCTTCCTTGATTATAGAGACCTACTTTTACTTCGTGGGAGACGAAATACAGGGATGCTGAATACCAGGTTCCACAGGGAGTGTCTATCTCTATCCTGATCATATTGTTCTTGTATTCACTGTACTACCGATTTAATTATCTGCTAATTTGCATGTTTCCCTGCAAGCCTGAGTTCTCTCTGTGTTCCTAGGAAAGGGCATGACCTGTACAAGGCCCTACATGAACCGCAGAGCTGGAGCCCAAACCTAGCCTCATCATATCCACGTTCAATACTTTCTGACCCACTTTAAATTCTGAGTAGAGCTGCAAGGCCCCAGGGGTGGTCTGGGAACAAATGTCCATGAGCTTGCGGTGGAGCTACAGGGTCTGTGCCCCCTAGTTTCAGCCGAGATCAAGGAGAAGCCCTGACGTGTGGCATGCCGTGCCAGGGAGCCTGACGGCCGAGCTCCTAGGACGCAGCTCTCACTGAGGAGACAGCTTCTGAACAGCTGCCCGTCTTTTCTGCAACCAAAATTATCTCGGGGCTGCAGGCTGGGCTCTTTGTGTCCAAGCCTTCCTTTCCTGCTCTGCTTTTATAGGTGTCCAGAAGCGCCCAGAGGCTCTGCCTGCCCAGGCCTGCTCCCTCTCCGCTTTGTCCTTCAGAAGTGTTTCTCCAATCAATGTCTGGTCCACCTATCATCCGCCTTGCTGGAAACCTGGACCAATGGGTAGTGACACAGGGCCTGAGGGAGACATCTGGGCATCGACAAGGGCCAGACCTGGGCCTTCATCCTGATTCTGTCTAAGAGAGGGCTGGAGCAGGCCACCTGGCTGCCTGGTCAGATCGATACGGCTACAAAGCGGGAAGTTAGGACTGGAATTCATTTTTAATTTTTTAAATTTTTATTTTACGGAGAATAAAACCAACCAAAATAGAACAGAACAAAGCAATCAAAATATATCAGTGTAAGTGTCACAGGACTTCAAAACAATAGGAAATCAACACTGGTTACCAGAATGCCTCTTGTTGTCTTCAAAATAGCTGCAGATACCTCCAGACATAGTAAGAATCAAACAAAACAGAACAGAACAGAACTAATAAAAACAAAACAACGAATGTGATAAAGGACCTTAAGACAAGATATTAGTAAGAATGGCTACCACAATATCTTTTGTTATATTTGAAATCACTGCCCAGGCCACTGGATACAATAAAATCAAATGGAACATAACCCAACCCAACAAACAACAAAAATGATACAAGACTTCAAAACAAGACAGTGGGGAGTCAACAATGGCTACCACCTTCAGGGGTATACATAGATGCTACATTGTGTATTGGTATCCTCTGAATTAGATAATCAGATACTGGCCCTAGGGCTGCAAAGTCAGTGACACACTACATACTGCGCCCATTCAATTGTTTTTTAATTCAATAGCTATCATTGTAGCCTGTTTCTTGGGATCAGCTAGTCACCTATGGCAGGTGGGCCTGGGGCTGGGGCTGGCTCTTCTTGTTTCCCAGCCCACGTGGCAGAAGGGGCTGGCATCTGGCTCTCCTTCCAGCAGCCCGTGCACGGTGCCAATTCACAGGGATGACCTGCTTCTTGGTGACTTCCTGTTCTCTTCCCCTGCAGTCCGTGAATGGCATGACCCATGGGAAAAGGCTGGCATCTGGCTGTCCCCCCAGCAACCTGCATATGGCGCCAATTTGCATGGCGGGCTTGCTTCCTGGACTAAAATTTAAAGTAAACTACATTACCCAAAGCATAAGGGAAGTTATTTTGGCCATCAGTAAAGAGAAAACACTAATGACAAATGCTGCCTGGTAATTTGTTTCCTTACGAAAGGCAGAAGCTTCTGGAGTTGTTGAGGGGACCGCAGATGCAGTGAGATCGCAGACTGTGGCATCTGCTCAGCCCTAACAGCCCTGGCAATCACAGCTGGAAGCTAAGCACCCTCATGGAGAAGGGGGTCTGCAAACAGGATCCTCCTGACCACTATGTCACTCCAACCGCATTCTTCATCCTTTCCCAGGAGGGAGGCGGAATAGAGACCTGGGAAGGAAACCAAACCTTGGGACCGGAATGTGAGAGCCTGATGGGGGTCAGGAGGGCAGACCCAGAGAGTGAGGCCAGTCAGGGCCGAGGCCGACCTGAGGCCGAGGCGAACACGGCTCTCCTGCCTCCTTTACATCTTAGTTCCTCTTTGACAGGTGACAGCCTGAAGAACAGAGACCAAGGGCACAGCCGCTCGCCTGCACCACAAATCCCTGCTTCGGACCAAGACAGGAAACCGCACCAGGAAGAGCTGCAGGAGCCACAAAACTCAGAGCTTCAATGCCTACCTCTGTTCTTTTGTCTCTTTTCATCAGTTCTGGAGTTGGGTTTCCATTGCCCAGTCTTGGTGTTCATTTTGTGAGCGTGGAGGTGAACGAAGAGATGCTTAGGCGCAGAAGGATGGCCCCATCCTGAGCTGTACTATGGTGTGCACCCGCTCTCAGACCAGAAAGGAAGGTCAGCAAAACTCATCCACAATCTGCTTGCCAGCTTTGGTTTGTGGTCTGTGTTTTATTAGAATACCCCCCACCCTGTACCGCCTGCTTCACTTGGGCTCTGTACTGTCCCCTGCAAGGCCTGTTGCACTTGGTCCATGTGGATTAATGTGAGCTCCACGGACCAGGCTGCTTGTACCACCCTCATGGTAGTGCGAGCCCCAAGGATGGTCTGGCAGTGTCCTGGGAATTCCTGCACTGACCCAGACACTAAAGTAGTAGGTGCTAAATAGTGAGTATGCATGCACTTGCCACACGCTCACACACACACACACATACACACACACATACTCTCTCTCATCAAGACCAGAAGAAACAGAAGTCCAATGTTAAGAAAGGCCAATACAATTGGGCAAGTGGCACAGGCCAGTAATCCCAGCACTCTGGGAGGCTGAGGCAGGAGGATCTCAAGCCCAAGCCCAGCCTAGCCAACTTAGCAAGACTCTCAAAAAATTTAAAAGTGAGGTTGCTAAAAATGTAGTCCACTGCAAAGGATTTTATTCTCACTCCCCAGTATGAGAGAAAAGAAGCCCCAACATAGCACCTTAGGGACATCTAGAGCAGGCAGAACCAGCCTTGCAATTGATTATGGCCAAAGGCAGGCCCCTGGGAGAGACAGCCCAAACTCCACTAGACAGAAAGGTCACACATCTGCTGTACAACTGACCTATGCACATAACAACCCCAAAGATGGGCATACGGAAGGCCTGTAGTGAAGAGGAGCTAAGCTGCGGATGGAATTAGGAGGACTGACTGCCTGGCTTTGCTCGTGGGAGGAGGCGCTACCCACCCGAGAAGGCAGGCAGCCTGCGGAAGGTGAAGAGGGAAGCAAACTGCCCCCCAAGAGCCTGCAGAAGGGTCACAGGGCTGCTGTCACCTTTTATTTTAGCCCAAACGAATGCAAGTTGGACTTGTAACATATAGAGCCATACACACCACTGTTCCTTTAAACCACTAAGTTAGGGATAATTTATTATAGCAGCAATGGAAGAGGAAGACAATAATTATTATGTATCTCATTATCTTTCGCCAATAGGAACGAAGTGGATGAGTAAAAGGGGAACACAAATAAATGAATTTAATGAGGTTTAATACAGAAAGTTCACACAAAAGGAAAGCTCTACTTGGTGTCAGACCAAGTGCAGGGCCTCGGGGGGCAGTGATCTGAGAGTCACCCAAGTCCGGCAGTGGACTCTGCCCAACAGCCTTCACCCCGCCTCCCCTCCTTCCCCCTGGCCACGCAGCCTCTGCTGAAACTGCGGCCCTGTGGGATGCTGGATCCTGACTGGCAGCTCCCCGCAGCTCCCACCGTTCAAAAGGTTCCCAGCCTACGCTGAGTCCCAGCCCCAGAGCCTCGACTCGCTGGTGCTGCGTATGATTTCGAACTACTGAGGACACTGCTTCACTGTCAGGCCATCCAGACAAGGACGACGTATCTGTGCTCTAAAATTTCCTCTCCTTCTCCTAAGCCTAAGAAGTGCAATTCTTTCATTTATCCCCCACATGCTGAAATGGTCCTTTTCACCTGCGTGCCCCTTAAACGTGACACTCCTAAACAGACATAAAATTGTACACGATACAGAGCTGGGGACAAAGTTCAGCAGGTCCAGTCCCAGATGTGAGGACATCTAGTATTCAGCCACTCAAATGGTTAGGCTAGAGGATCTCAAAGGCTTCTTCCAGCCCAACATTGCAAGATTCTAAATTCACTCAATAATTATTTAATCATTTTTACACTAATTCTGCCATACTTCTGTTCTTCAATTTATAAAGACAATGCAGTAAAGGTCCTACAATCAGGTTATGTTCTGCAGAGTCCTCTGTGACTTTCCAGGTTTCTACTCAGCAAGAAGCACCCAGGAAAATGGCACCCTGCAGTGAACCCCACACCACCCAAAAACTTCCCGGCAAGCTCTTACAGTTTGGATAGAGAAAGGCAGGGCTTTGGAAGGTGACGGAATCGTGAGGGCCATGCAGCTGACCTGCCGTTCCAGTCACGGGGGCATGACTGGGAGGGGTCTGTCTGTCTTCCTCTCCGGCTCCTACCTTCTGTTTCCTGCACATCATGATGTGAGCGGCTGTCCTCTGCCAGTTCTTCACTGTGCTGCTTCAGTGTTTAATACTCTTGCCAAACACAGACTGAAAATTCTGAAACCTGACCCACAATAAACCTCTCCTCCCATGAGCTGTGGGCACCAGCAAATGAGCAAGTGACAAGACACATCCCCCATCTACTGACTTCTGAAGAGCTTTCCAAGTTGCGGTCTTGGAAGTCTCCACCCAGTATTTCTACAGGCAGACACACATCCACACCTGTTTTTCTTACTTCAGACCCAAGCTTCTAATTCAGCCAATGCCTATGGAATAACAATTTGGAAAGAAAAGCTTGGACATAGCATTTAAATCCAAGACATAAAATGGTAGTGGTGGGGAGGCTTCTTACTGTAAACATTTTTGTGCTTTATGAGCAATAAACCACAATAATGGATTGTTTAAAATAAATATTTCAAGAATTAGATTAATTAAAGGTATTATCATGATACTGTTACTCTTCTGTAAAAGGCCTGCACTATTCCATATACAATTGGATACTTAATAAAATAATCTGTTGATAACTCATTGGGACTTTTCTCTAGCAGATAGAAAGGCAGGAATGAGCAGACACATTTTACAGGTAAGAAACATAAGGAATGTTCCGAGGACTAACTCAAAATTTCACCATGAGCCATCAGAAGTGTTAACAGCTCCTTGGTAACCTTACCTTCCCTTGTCCAAAGGGAAGGTCGGTTTCCATGCGGACTGCATTTCAGCTCTGTGGCTGGGGTGGCCACTTGTCCTCTGGGAACAAAGCAGCCTCTAAGTAGTCTTTAAGGTAGATTTATTTCAAGCTCCAACATTTCTTGTCATCTTGAATTTAAGATCAAGAGAATAAAAATATGATTTCAGGTCTTGTTCTCTCTTTTCCCCTCCATGCCCGCAGCTGCCCTAATCCTTCAGACAAACCCCTTGTCTGTCCCTTGAAGAGATTAGTAGATATACGGAGAGCAGAGCTCTTATACACAACATGAACACTTGTCACAAAGCCTTCAGAGAAAGAGATGTCAGTGCAGAGCATCTCAGTATGACACGGAGGCTGCAGATACTCTGTTAGACAAATGAAAGCCATTAGCAAAATCCTTGAAGGCCTTGAGGAAGGTGGAGTAAACCCTTTTAGCATCAGGAGTTTCTTAGTCATCTTCAAATGAAGATTTGTGTATCTAATATACAAGTTAATGCGAAGGAGTTCAAAGCAAAATTAAATTTAGGTGCAAAGAAATAAAACTAAAGGCTAAGTATAAGTAAAAAACAGTAAATACCTTCAGCAATTTAAATCCTCATTAATGGTGATTAGAATTCTTTTCAGTTGAGAGTGGGCATAAATACAAAGTAATAAACTTCATAGAGAAAGAAATGCAATAGTGTTTGTAAGCTTATGATAAAGATTATCACACGGGCAGAGACATATACATACCCCTCCATCACTGAACCATGAAGATTTGGTTAAGCAGTAAGCAGTTCACGTAATATAATTGATGCTATTTTCATTCAGTTGAATCATGCATTTCTGAAATAGCTGAACAGTAGATAGAAGACCAAAACAGGAAAGGAGGAAATTGAGTCAACGGATCCTGATCTGAGATCTTTTTGCTCCCACAGCAAGACCTCATTTCTCATAGCTCTATTGCTACCCCCATGCTTGGATGCTGCACGAAACCCTGGGAACACAGAAGCATAGACCACACAGGAAAGGTCCCCAGACTCATGACCTCATGTTCCAATGAGAAAGGAGATAGCCAGGTAGCAAACAGTTGTTTGTTTTTGTTGTCTTTCAGCACGTGGTTCTTGGAGTCTCTCATGTACTAGACACAATTCAAGGCCTGGTGGACATAGTAGTAAATATCACAGAGCTCCTCCTGCCACAGAGATAATATTCTGGTAAGGAAATGAAAACAATTAACAAGTAGGCAAATAAATAACTCTGGACAGTATACTAGGAAGGAAATGAAACAGAGTCTAGAGCAGAGTCTAGGAAGGCTTCCAAGAGAAGATGTCACAGAGGTTCTAGAACTGATGAGTAGACAGCCATGGGAAAGTAAGGACACAAAATTCCACATGAGTGTTAACCTTTCCTTCCTTCATTTTGGGCATCAAGTATTTTGTCTCAGCAATGAGAAAAGTAACCAAGACAGAATTTGGTACCGGGAGTGGGGTTGTTGCTGTGACTATACCTGATCATGTGGTTCAGGAGCCTTTGGGAATGGCTTGTGGAGTTTAGAAAGGTTTGGAGATGTTACCCAAACCTGAAAGAGTAGAGCTGTAACATCGTGGGGTGTTTTGTATGAGAGATTCTAGTCACAGCTCAGAAAACCAGTAAAGACCAGGCTTGGGAGGTTTCTACTGGGAAGGACTACATTGGTTGTTGTTTTACTCCAGACAATGTGTGTCATAGCCTGGCAGAAAGTTTCTCTGCATTTTGCTCATGTGTGTAACTAAGATTAAGGGTGGTGGATTAATTAATCTGGCAGAAGACATTTCAAGACAGTCAAATATTGAAGTGATGGCATGGCTATTGTTGAGGGCTTTTAGACAGATTTATGTTGTGAATCAAGAGCAAAGAGCCCAGCAAGGTGATCTGAAGTGTTTTGAGTTTGGCCAGGAAAAAGTCTCTAGTAAAGCCGTGGACTGCTAAGATAGAGCTGAGATCTCTATTGTTGAGAAAGAACTAGAGTATATAAAAGATGGCCTTAGGACATCACAAGCAGCAGTGGGTTTCCATACTTAACAGCCTCATAACTGCAAAAGTGAAAGACTTTGCTTTGAGGAAAAGGAAACAGAGCACCATTTTCCAGAATGGTGGTGGCAGTCACACCAGGTTTGAGTGTGTTCCTCAGAATCAGCTTCAGAGTGCTCAGGGATCCAGGCACTTGACCCCTACAGCCAAGAGAGAGGAAAGCCTGGCTACTGCTCCAACAGGCAGGAGACCTCAGCATCATTCACATGGCACTGGTTTTAGGTGTATGCAGAAGGTAAGAGTTCTGAGGTTAAAAGAGCTTCCACCCCAATTGCAGAAGGCCTGGAAGGCCAAGCTGTATGTCCCTGAAAGGCCAATATGCAAAGCTGTGAGTATGAAGCCAAAGATGAGATCGAGAACCCAGAAGTTTGGATCATCTAAGAAAATCTGTAAGGAGGGAGCAAAGTCAGCCCAAGAGAGAAGCCACGGGAGCAAGAACCACAAGTGCCATGGGGGAAGAGTCACTCAAGCTCTTTGGAGTTCACAACCAGATTTCTTTAGATGCTGAACATTAAACTCCAGGAGGTAATGTTTGCCCTGCTGGATTTTGGACTTGCTTTAGTCCCATTTGTCTCTCCCCATTTGTACTCATTGGAATGGTAATGTGTATCTTGTGCTACTGCCTATTCAAAGTGTTTATCTTTGTTTTAATTTGAACATGGGGTTACAGTTAAAAGTTTGCTGTAAATCTCAGAGGAGACTTGGGACTTGGACTTTTCAGCAATGCTGAAACTGTTAGGACTTTGGCAACCCTTAGAGATGGACTAAATGTGTTTTGCATAAAGGATATGCATGAGTCTTTGGGGGACCAGTGGTGGAATGTTACGGTTTGTGTCTGGTGTGCCCCCAAAGCCTCGTGCAGTTATGGAGGCAGCTGAGTCTAGCATTTATGATTGGTTCATTGTCTAGCACTGGGACTGGTGGTGAGTGCTGCATCTGTCCAGGAGTGGGTAGCCGGCATACAATATAAGGAAGGGAATGAGGTATACTTTTCCCTTTTGCCCTTCTGCTTTGGTTGCTTGTGTTACCTACCACAGCCACCATGAATGGCTGACTCTGAGTCATGTCACCCTGCCCTGGAGCCAGCTGAGTATAGACTGAAACCTCCACAAACTGTGAGCTAAATAAACCTTTCTTTTCTTCATTTTGGGCATCAGGCATTTTGTCTCAGCAATGAGAAAAGTAACCAAGACAATGAGGTAGAAAGGTTAGTTCCTGAGACTGTGCACAATGTGCAGCAACTGTGATAGAATCTGAGCAGCTTCCCTCTAGAGAGCAGTGGGAGGACAAGAGGCAGAGGCTAAAGAGGAGATGTAGCCCCAGGCACTTCCACTATGGTTACACTATGGCTGCTGTGGGGAAACCAACCAGAGAAGTTGTACCACTGAGATAATTGTTGTATCAGGAAGAGGATGTGCTGAGGAGCAGGCATACAAAGGGCAAACTGCGAAGGGTGCCTCAATAAATCTCAAAGGCCAGGGTGTTTTGGGAAAGATGAGATCAGAGATAAATTCTAAAACAACAAATAATCTGATTTAAAAATGGATGGAGGACTTGAGAAAATGTTGTCAAAGAAAATATAAAAAAGGTCAAGAAACATATCAAAAGATGCTTAACTTCACTAATCATTAAGAAATGCAAATGAAGCCACAAGGAATTATCACTTTATACCCACTATCGTAGCCATCATAAAAGGAACAAAGAACAGCAAATGTTGATGAGGATGTAGAGACTGAAATCCTCATGCACAAATGATGGGATGACAGAATAGTACAGCTGCTGTGGACAACTCCATGAAGGGTTGTCAAAAACCTAAAAATAGAACTACCATATGCATAGCAATTCCACTTGTAAACGACCTGGAGTGTAAGGTGCCATCTGCCCGAGATGTTCACTGTGGCATTACTCACAGTAGGAAAGAAAAATAGGAAACCTCAGATGTCCACCTAAGAATAAAGAAAGAGAAACATGGCATTTACACACCATGGGAGATTATTCCACCTTAGGTGGAAAGCCAATTATATGGAACACTGTGATGAACTTTGCAGACAATGTGTGGAGTGAAGCCCATCAGTCACAAAGACAAACTGAATCATTGCATTTGGATGGAGTATCCAAAGAAGCCAAATTCAAAGAATCAAAACCAAGTTCTACGTGGAACAATATACTCAAATGTCCTAACTGAGAAAAGATAATAAATAACAAGTGTTAAGGAGAGGTTGGAATCAAATCACCTAAATTTGCAAAAAATGATAAAAACTTGCTACACAATGAATTCTTGAGCTACCAGGATGGTGTAAAGTCTTGAGGAAGAACTGGAATTTCTTTCAAGTGAACTTTATTGAGAGCCCCATTTTCCTTTCTTCCCAAAGAGAAGATGTGGGTTCTTGTCTCTTCACTCCAATGAAGGACAAAGGATGGCAGCAGGACCACTCCAAGCTTGAAATACTTGAATAGTTAGGGAGCCTGATAGAGACATCCAGTCCCCAGTCTGATAATCTAGAGTTGTTCTAGACCTAAATCGAGTATTGATGCTGGTCTTTATGTATGTGTTTGTGAAAATTAGATGAAATACAATGACAATCCAGTTCTTCAACAGTGTTCCAATGGCTGCCACACTGGACAGTAGAGATGGAGAACATTCCATCAGTGCTGAAAACTCGTTCAACAAAGGGATCTAGAAGGTGAGAGACAAACTGGCTGACTGTTGACCTCAGAACAAAGAGCTCTGCTGGTCTACATTTCAGCCCAAGTGTCTAGTCACCAAAGAGGAAGCAAAGAAGCAGGGAGGAAAAGTGAGCCGCTCCTCGGAGAGCTTCTTTCTCCTACATCTGTTACGTCCTAACAGAGTAGTCGTTAAATGAGTATTTACTAGTGGGTCTGTTTTCCCAAATGGAAAGAGGAATGCTCATAGAGGTGGGGCTGTGGGCAATGGCATGACAATGTGAAGCACGGTGTTCCTGGAGGGCAGGGACCACAGGAAGAGCCAAGTGGCAGAGCACCAAGCCAACACTCACACCTCCGACGGGAGTAAACTGCCCATTTCTTGTTCCAGCACTTGCTCTAATCCTTTCTAATAAAAAACTGTAATCCTTTGGAGAAGCTAATCCATGTTTCAGTCTTCAATAACAAAATTCCACTAATTCACAGTGGGATGAAAAGATTATAAAAGGCTAGTTTGTTATAATCATTTCATTAGCTTTGTCTGGCATCTTTTCCTACCTCTTGCTTTTCATGTCATTATATTTCTTGGCAACAGCACAGAGGTTGCTCAGTGTCTAAAACCTAATCTGAGACATTCTCATACAAGGTAGTGGTGTATTGCTGGAGAATGTCTTGCCTTTTGCCTCAGTTTCCTTACCTATAAGAGCTATGTTTGTGATGACAAAGAGTTAACACCAACAAAACTCACAGTCCTGGCACTAAGACACGTGTCATAAATGTTGGATGTTACTAAGAATTTGAGTTGTGGAGTGAAGAAGATGGCAGCTTGACAGGTGGCTGGTTAGAGAGCCTCTCTGGGAAAAACAGCTCAGATGCTGGAACTTGACAACATGGAGAGGGCTGGACGAGGGGAGAGGGGATTTTCGTGATCCACGAGGAAACTGAAGGAAAAAGAAAAATAGGAAGAGGAAGGAAAAATGCGGGTGGAAGTCTAGAGCCGGACACCCGGTGGAGTCACACGATTCAAGGTCACGCTAAAGCCATGGCCGCCGATAACGGGAGTTGGTGAGTCCCGGGCCCTTGGCGGACATGGTGCAGCATGGACTGGAGCCAAGGTGGAGAACTGCATTAATTCTCGGTGAGTGCTGGAAGTTGGATCCCATGGCATGTGTGGCCAGTTGGAAGATATATTGGAGTTGGGCAGAATAGGCCTGAGACTGGTGCCGTGGCGGCGTCAGCTGCCCCTGGCCCAAAGCAGACTCATGGGACCTGCTTGGGCTGAGTCATGGCCCTGGTCGGGACTCAATAGCTAGGGACGAAACTGTTCCAACCCTGTGATGTCCACCATAGCACAGCCTAAGTTGCCGAAGGCACTCACTGATTGCCTGGCTCAAAGAAGTAGGGCCAGCCCACAGTCCCTGCATGCACCTCAGATAACAGCAAACTGGAGAGGGCAGCAAGCCCCCAGCCAGCATGCTTCAGAAAAACCATAAACAGTACAAAGAGGGCCTGAGACCTCTACCACACACCTGTCTGAAAGAAACCAGAAACATGACAAGAGAAAAAAAATAACAAAAAACCTGCAGCAGCTGACCCTGGGAAAATAAGCCCAGGAGAAGTAAATACAGAAGAGAACCAGTAGCAATCATGCAATATTGGCCACAACATCAACGAACATAAAGAAATACCTTCATGACCTCATAGATGAACTTAAAACTGAAATTCTAACCCAAGTGAGGCAAGATATAAAAAAATAAAAGAAATGCTAAGCCCCTCTCAAGAAGACACAGATGGAAGAATGGAGGAACCCAGAAAAGGATGAGAAACCTTTGGTGAAGAATATAAACAAAACCTAGAATACATGAAACAGATCCAAAGAGATTACCAGGAAATTAAAAATTCCATTGAAAGCTGGCAAAAACAAACAAAAGTCAGCCATCCAAAACTTGGAAGATAGATTTGCCATGTGTGATTGTGAAAGAAAAGACCTCTTAAAAATAACAAGGAACCAGAAAGTAACAATTCAAAGGCTAGAAGATAACAAGAGAATCTATAACATAAGAATAAAAAATGTGAGTGAAGAAGCAGGAGTAACCACAAACGAATTACAAAGACTATTCACAAAAAGAATTGAGGAAAACTTCCCAAGCATAGGAAAAAGAAATGATATCCAGATAAATGAGGCATACAGAACTCCAGCCACCTACAACCAAAACAGATCTACACCCAGACATACAATAATCAAGATCCCAGAAATCGACCAGAAGAATAGAATATTAAAAGCGGTCAGAGAAAAGAAGTAGCTCACCTACAAAGGAAAATTCACCAAAATAATGACAGACTTCTCAATACAAATTATCAAATCAAGAAGAGCCTGGGGGAATGTAGTCCAAGACCTGAAAGAAAATAACCTCCAACCCAGATTGATGTACCCTGAAAAACTCTCTCTCAAAATTAATGGAGAAACAAGGTGTTTCCAAGACAAGGAGGAACTGTGGGAGTTCATGGCCACCAATTCAGCCCTACAAAAAATACTGAAGGACTTTCTAGAGAGAGAGAGAAAATACCAGGACTCCAGCAACAGTGGCAGAGAGGCCTCAATGAATGGGGCAGACAGCAGAATGAGGAGAAAAGTGGACAAATAATGGAAGAAAAATAGAATAGCAGAGATGAGACAGAGAAAGTGGGCTATAATCTCTAATATACGTAGCCTTGATATACAAACAAAAAGAAACACAGGCAGAGTAGATTAGGAGGCAGGATCCATCGAGATGCTCTGAATAGGAAATATACTCAACCTGAAAGAGGGTTAATAAACTGAAAGTCAAAGATGAGAAAACGATGCTCTATGTGACAGGGAACCAGAGAGAAATAGGGACAACTCGTCCAGCAGCCACAGATAGGTTGGAAAGTCATGACACTTTTGTGCAGTGGAGAACTACTCAGCTAGAAGGAAAACCTTGTGGCTTTAGTTAGTACAGGAGTACAGCTCAAGATCAAGCTCAGGAGTAAAAAGGTTCGGCACCACTCAGATAGATAACAGGTTGACCCCTAATCTAAAAACTAAAGGAGCTAGAGAGACCCAAAATATACAAGGCACCCTGAGAAAGGGAAAGGCGAGGAATTGCCTAAAAAAAAGGCAGAGGACACTGTTAATAGTGTATCAGGATTTAAAAGCCACAGAGTCTTATCGCTCTGTTTAGTTTGATTTTATTTTGTTCCAGTCTGTCTACTCATACTAGATTTGAGGGCACAGACAGCTAACCCAAAAATAGCAGGATATCCCACAGTAACTATCCTTAATTCCCTATTAACTTAAACTGAAGCCCTGTATTACTTACATTGTCTTACAATGACAGATCTTATTTGAAGCTGGTTTAGACCGCTGTTTTGTCTTGACTGATTTTATTCGAACTTGGTATGCTTGGTAGTATCAAGTCTAAGAGCAGAGGCAACTACTCTGAAGATGACAAGATGTAATAAGATATCCATTCTGGTTTGATGACTAACTGCTTTTGAAGTCTCCATGGTGTTCTACAATGAAGTCTACAATGTCTCCAATGGTGTGTTTTTATTAAAATTGCTATGTAATGCTATGCTCAATTATATTATGTCTGATGTAGACAATTTTATTGAAAATAACAAGAGAAAGCATAGTAACTACTGTAGATCACCTAATATTGTGCTTTTATATGACCTTTTTCATTTTTTTCCAGGAATTTGTTTTGTTGTCTTGTTTTGATCTGTTTTTCCCTATAATACAGAAAGGATAGATATACATGTAGAGAGTCACACATGTCGAAAATTTCTGAACAGTTTATGGGAACAGATTATATAATGCACAATGTAATGCACAGATCTTCTGAGGAAGAGACACTAAGATACCCAGTGCTAATTCAATAGCATTATGATATAAAATCTAGCAATACTATTATTCACTGCTCAGAGTGATATTAGTCTAGTTTCATGTTTAATTTCAGCATACATAAAGATAAGGACAGCTACTTCGAAGAGAATGAGAGACATTATGGCAGTCATTGTTGACTTCCCCAGTGTCAGGTCTTGAAGACCTAGAAAGCCTTCATCATCCTGTAATGATCTGATTAGTTCTATAATGTTCAGTATGTATTCAATATGTGAAGATGGGGACAACTATGTGGAAGCAAGCTAGAGACAATATGATAGACAGTGAAGATCTCCAGTGGACTTGCTTTGAAATCCATGTTTCTTAAAATTGTTTCCTTATGATCTGTTTTGTTTTGTTTAATCTTACCCTCTTTAAAAAAAGAATTTGGGTTATATCATTTACATATAATTACTGATACACGGGAGCTTGTTTTGTTTTCCAGAGCTATGCTTGTTCTTAGTGTGCAGCCCTCATTCTTTCTCTGCCTCACCATGGTTTAATTGCATTTTCCTTAATCCCACTTTCAAGCTTAGAAAATAATGCAGTTTGTGTCCACAAAGGATTACCTTAGAATGTTAAACAGATCCAAGCAGGCTGATGTTTCCCACAGAATACTAATGGCTCAGGGTGCCTTCCCAGTCTAATCATCCTCTCCCAAGCCCTACATTATTATCTAATAGTTCATTTATTTGTGTTTTGACACATGGTTTGACTGTGTAGTTCAGGCTTGCCTTGAACTCACTACGTAGCCCAGGTTAGCCCAGAACTCCTGCTGATCCTCCTGCCTCGGCCTCTGGGGTGCTGGTATTTTAGTTGTGCAGGATGCCCGGTTACTAATATTTTATTTCCACTTTGTTTTAATCCCTTCCTCTTCACCCCACCTCAATTCTGTATTTACTTAAAATCTGCCCCCTTTTTTAGCCCACTTCATTGCCTTTTGCATCTCATTCTTTTCCTGTGGGTTCCATTTCATTCTTCCTGAAGAGCGTGCTTTGGTAAGTGATCTGTCATGACAAGCGGAAGCCCAGGCCTCTCAGTGTTCTACCCTGCACGAAGAGTAAGGTGGTCTGGACAGTTCACAGTTGACTACTCGTCGCCTCACAATTCGGTATCACTGCATTTGTAGTCTGCTAGAAAAACAAACACCAGCCCTGGTCGGGAGACAGGATCCCCTCACCTTGCCACCTCTGCCCTCGACCCCGCACCTCCTGGCTGCTGTGACATGAGCAGCTCTCACCCGCATGCCTGTCCCAAGCCGCTTCTGCTCTGGACCAGCTAACTGCAGACTGAACCTCTACCAACATGAGCCAAAAATGAAGCTCTCCTCCCTGGAGTTGTGGGTGTGGGGTACGGTGTTTTGACATGACCAAAGTTCTTTAGGTGCTCAGAACTGTAACAATGTCTTACTCAGTACCCGCCAATTTTGGATCTTCAGCTTTGATAGTTAACAGAAGCAGCACGTTTACATCTGTGAAATTCCTACCAAAGAGCTCCAGTACATTTCTACTACACATTATTTAAAAACTCACAGAACAAGTTTCCCAGAGAATTTAAAACTTTTGTCCTACTTATTTTGAAAACCTGGCCACTATTTTATTAAAAGCTAATGTTCTAATAATTCCTTAGGAAGTACTCACATATATTGAAAAAAATTATGATCATGATGTTCAGTTCATAATTATTCATAATTGGACAAAAACTGGGAGTAATCCAAGTGTCCAAGAATAAAATGTCTATGCACAAGGTGGCACGTGCTCCAACGGACTGCTGTCAACCATTCAGGGGTACAGACAATGCACTGGGAACTCTTTTAGTGCCAAATGGAAGCCATGCGTGTATATGTGGAGGTGGCCTATGCACTCAGTCACTCACACCTTCCCGCCCGCCCCTGCACTTACTCTAAGTTGACTTGAGTAATTACTGATTAGTGTTTGTCTCTCTTTCTAGTCTACAGGAGTGCCACCAGGGGAGTTTCTCCAATTTGCATCGCACCTGACTCAGCATTCTAATAGCAGAGAGAAGGCAAGTGCGGGAAGGAAAAGAGAACAGAGAAAGAAGCAAAGGCCCCGGAGAAGGACACATTTTTCATGAGGGTACTGCGGATCCAAGTCACGAGGCACTGAAACTGGGGGAGCTGGCTCCTGCTTCCACGGGGAACAAAGCAAGGCCAGGATGACCAGGCTGCCCCAGCATCTGGGACTGTGCTGGCCTGTATCCTTGGCATGCAGGCCTCTCCACTGACCACCTGTGATGCACATGATACATGTGTATATCATGGTGTGTGCGTGAGGTGGGCAGGCTGAGAGCAGGAATCTGTGAGACCAGCAACATACGTAAGCATGGACTTGCATCTGAATTCAGAATAGTCTGCGGCCTAAGGATACCCAGGAATATCAGGGAAGGGCTAGCAAAATGCCCTCTGTAAGTAAGGTGTAAGTGTAGGTGGGAATAAAGCCAGTAACTTGGGTGTTAATACTAATTTGACTTGTTTATAGCCTTAGTTATTCTTCCAGACGTCTAAAATGCACTAAGACTAAAATCCAACAAAGATCATCAAAATGGTAATGAATTTAATGGTTATAACTTTCCCCTCTAATGTTCATAATTATTTTATAATAAAAAGTCCAATATAATGGGAAAAAGTCTCCTTTGGAGAACTGCTATTTTATTCTATCAGATGCTAATAGTTTGGAAAGTCACAGACCACCTGACTATGGCCTGAACAACTATTTGGACTTGATAAGACCACTGGCAGCTGTTACACCCCAAGATAATAGGCAAAAAGGGAAACAATCAGTGAATGACTCTAAGTTGGAGTGATTAAATTTTCACTAAAAGGTCAATTTTAGAAATAAAAGCCTATCAGTTTTAATTTTGAATCTAACACTCTAGATTCCTTAATCTTTATTAAATTGATACACTTTGTTTTCAATCCTAAGTACTAACACATAAATCTCAGTAAATGCTCAAAGGCCTCATTCTTCAGATAAACCTGGTGTAGGAAGCCCTTGAAGATGGAAACTGACCACACCTTTGTTGGGCCCACAAAGACCACCTACAGCGAGCCCCAGAAACAGCCACTCCAAGCCCCACTCCCATCAGGCCTTTGGTTTGCCATACAGGTGGATTCCTAGGCAACGGGGGTGTCATGTCATAGTATAAATAAACGACCCTATAGTAGGGGGAAGTTCCTTTCCTCTCATCAGGAGAGGCCTCCACCTGACCCCAGCTTTCATCTCTTCTGTATTTTCTCATCCTTTTACAGTTTTCTGCCCCAGGAACCCCAAAAGCTATACTGGTTGCAGCAACCTGGGGGTTCTTTAGATATGGGTTTCTCTATCTTGTTACCACTGAAATTTGAAATGTTTAATCCTTTATTTTGCTAATTTGTGCCCTCTTCAAAATAACATAGGATGGAAGTCCTAAGTCCCAGCGGTCGTCATGTGGGTATATGTAGAGGCAGGGTCCTGGAAGAGGAAAAGGAAGTGAAACGTGGTCACACAGCAGCTGCTGAGCCAATGTGACTGTGGCCTTGTCAGGAGAAATATGGACCAGACACCGCGCACAGAGGAAAGACTATGCTTGGACACAGCAAGGGGGCAGCTGTTTGCAAGCCACGGAAAGAGGCCTAGAAAATGCCTACTGATCTAAGACTTTGCAGCCTCCCACACTGGAGTGGGGAGCGTCTGTCACTTAGGGACCCAACCTATGCAATGCTGGGATGTGGCCCTGGCCCCAGGAGACTCACACGAAGGGGCTGGCTTTATTCCAACAGCTGGTGGCATGCCTGGCCTCCCCCTGTGGGGTTAGTACCCCCTCGCGCCCCATCTCCAGTTATGAAAATCAAAACTGGTCAAACGTACCCTAAGGTATGAATTCTTCCTGCCTGTCCTACTGAGCACCTTTGGTAACCTCTTGTGCTTCCCAGTGCTCAGCATAGCAAAGATACATAACTAAGTAGATTATCAAATATTTACTGAAGGAATTCATGTACCCGGTCCCCATCCTGTCCTACCGAGCCCTTGAAATATTCCTTTTGCTGAAATTAAAATAGCAATCACTTCCTGCTTAACTTACAGTGGGCTGTGTAATGTTTAATGAAACAAGCATGTAGCATGGATTCCGGCCACTCAGTGATGCTAATATCACACCTGCAGCAGTCTCCTTTTGCTGATCCTGCTCACTCATCTCACCGCAGACACACTGAGAAACTTGGTCTGGACGCTGCTGTCAGCTTCCCTAATGCACCACTTGGCTTGAGGCAGACACAATGACTACGACACATTCTTCTCTATCCACTTGAAACTCAAGGCCCTCCTGAAGAAGACAAACAGTGGATTTCAGTGCTGAGAGGATAAACTGTTACCATGACACTCCACAGTCTGAAACCCCAAAGCACATTCAAGGACCAATGTCTACAGAGATACACTTTGGAAAGGCGAAATCACAAATTCCACCCCCAGCACTCTCCTGAATTTGATGTTTTATCCTTGCCACACCTGCTGTCATGTTATTTGGATGCTGATATATTTGGGTTGTGGGTGGCAGAGGGACAGGCCAACTCTGAAATCCCAAAGAACTGGGGAAGGCACAACGTTCTGTACACAGACCACAATTCCTGGTCAGCGCACTAACAGTTTCTGTAGCCCCGTACTCCACCGTTCGCAGGAAACCATCCTGAGGACATTATTCCAATTTGACCTAGTCTCTTCACTTGCAAATCCATTTATTGCATATTTTAAAAGCTGGGTTTCATAGTATTAGTTTCATTGGCTCAAATTAAAAAATACTAAAAGTAGTCATTTTTAAGTGCCATTTCAGAAGAAAATGTCTACTATTTCAAACTTACTGTGACTTTAAACTTTTTACTTTAAAAAATTAATAATACTAACTTTGTAACTTTTACAAACGACAATACTAGCTCTGTAACTTGTAAAGTTATTAATATTAACTTTGTAACTTAAAAAATTATAACACTAACTTTGTGACTTTAAATTAAAATACAACTTCAAGTGATACGTGAAACACAAATCTAACAAACAACTCCACTGATCTTGGGGGACCCACCAGGGAACCCCATAGCAGCCCGGCCTCAGGTTCTCACACTCCCAAGCATGTAAGTCTGGCAGAACACAGAGCCCTAACCAGCTGCTTGATACGATGTGGAGGCTGAGAAGAATCTTCTGAGGTTGGGAGAAAACGAGAACGGCTAGTAGAGACCCTGAAACTCAGAAAGCAAACAAATCCCTTTGCAAGCAGTCCACCCACCCGAGGGAGGGAGCAAGTGGATGCTAACGTTTTAGAGGCAACAGATCAAGGGACAGTGCTTTGTAAACTTCTCCTTTCCCAGAAAGATAAATATTTTCCAGAAAGAATAGAAATTCGTTAATATTTACGATTAGGATTTAGAAATTAATATAACATTTAGGATTTCACATCGTTCCTTGGTCATTTATAAATATGCATCTACAGTCACTCAGCAGTGAAGCTCCCGTGTTCCGATCGTGGACTGGAAGCCGGCAGAAGGCGCTAATTCCTGTTGCGCTTATTTCTTGGTTCGGTCTCCGCACTTTCAGCTGCTCTTGTGCGGCGATTCAGTCTTGGGCTTGTTTCTACGTCTTGAAGATCATTTCTAAAAACAGAAAGAAAAAACATCTTAGAAAGCAATGATCATCATTCCACAGTCACTCTGGCTTATAAATACTTGCACATTCGTTATCTCAGCGAAACCCCAGAACAGCCATTTACTCTGTTGACACATCTGCTGTCACTGCTACCCTTCCTCCCTCACAACTGAGAAACAGTGAATTCTCAAAGATGACAGAAACCAACATCAGTAATAAAGCCCTTTCTGAATCAAAATCCAGTAGTTTTACGCTTCTGTTATGTATCTTAGTGGGTAAAAATCAGGGGGGAAAAGCTTTATCCTAACAAGAAAAAGCCAGATAGTCTAATCCTATCTCTTTTTGATCATATCAGAGATTGACACTGGAAGGTAACCTGGGAAACGATACTCCAAGAATTCTCCAAAGAGAGATGGCCGCACACCTCTTCTCGCCGTGAGCAGAGGCCTTGCAGAGAGAGGGCTGCTGTACAACCAGTACAAACTCAGTCACAATTCTTGTGAATTCTTCCTGTATTTTTGGTGCTGGGGTGAAACCCTAGGCGGCACGTGCTTGGCCACTGAGCGCTGCCTGCCCCCCAGACCCTTCTGAGAGACAGAGCGTAAGGTCACCGAGGAGGAGCCAGACGCGTTGCCCTGTGGGCGCAGGTGGAGAAGGATGGCCTCAGCACGGCAGAGGTCGAGCTGATGTGTCCGAGGGCAGAAGAACAGGAGACTTTTTGTCACCGCTGCTGGGAAGTGGCGAAAACTTCACCTCCAGATCTGGAGGAGGAGCAGGAAAGGAGCTGCCAGGAGAGTGGGGATGGGAGAGTTGACAAGGCAAGAGTAACCGTTCTGGACGACACTAAAATGGGCTGTAGCTCTTTACAGTTTGCTCAAGGGCGGATGACACACAGCATGAATAGTGAAAACCCAAATGTAAACAGTGACCAAAACCAGAGTTAAAGGCTTCAACCTGACTGCAAACCCTTCTATAAAACAGCAGTAATTAAGAGTGCGTGTCACTACAGAGAGATCAGCAGACCAGAACAGTGACACACATACGCACACACATTCAACAGCAGTGGTACTAAATGGAGGTAAGACAGTTCCCCTAGTACAGTGCTGCCGCAGCCAGAGATCCCTACGCGACGAAGAAAAATTAAGCCCAATTTCATACCTTCCAATATCTGAAAAACCTACTTCACTGTAAAAACTAAAAGCTTTAGAATGTAAGAGAAAAATCTTTGTAATATTGGGTGCAGCTAAGATTTCTAAAACATCTCCCTCAAAAAAAATCCACCAAAATATTTTAAAAATTGATACATCTCACCACATTTAAAATTGTTCTCTGAAAAACACTTAAATCAGGAAAAGCAAACAAGCAGTGCAAAAGTTCTGCATGGTAGCAGGCACTAAATTGGGTTCGGAATACAGCGGTTTAAAAGAGCAGAGGCTGAGGAGAGCCAGGAGAGCAGGCCCAGGAGCTGCAGAGCCAGGCGGCGCCCACGGGCTGCCCCGGGAGCGCTCTCCCAGCTAGGCAAGGCCAGGGAGGGCAGCCACTCGGCATCCTGCCCCTCAGGAGCTATTCCGACTCCCCACCCCCCATTTCTGGCCCCCATTCCCTCTGTCCAATAAATTTTCCTCCTCTAAGGAAAACAAACAGACAGACAAATCTAGGGCACAGAACAGAGCAAGTCTGCCCAGGCCAACAGCTCTGGGTTGAGTTTTGCTCCTGCTGGCTCTAGAAGCAGTGTTTCTTCTCTTCAGTTTCCGTTGCACGCACACTGGAACTCTTGCTAAGTGTACATGTGCCTTTTGTTTTATTTTTAGAGTGCCCAGGCTGGGCATTAACTTGTGATTCTCCTGTCTTGGCACTGTAGGCAGGCTGCCAACGAGAGGTGCACAGCCAGCCTGGTGTGTGTGTGTGTGTTTGTAATCATGTATCTTCTTGATGGACTGACACATTTAAGCATGATAAAGTGTACCTTTGCGAACACTATTTATCTTCAAGTCTGTTCTGTCCAGTATCAGCACAGACATGCTTGTTAGTCTTTCTTTGTTGTCCCTTTATTCCTTCAGCATAGGTATTTTCTGTCGTGTCACTTTCATTTCTTTTACTGTATCTTAAAATTTATTTTCTTAATAGTTGCCCTGGAGATTACAGTTAGTATATTCGCTTAAAACAATATCCAGTTCCAATTAATACCAATGTAATATCCACAGCCTACAAAGGCTTTGTTCTGATGTGCAATTCTTTGCCTTCCCCATCCTTTATGCTATTGTCACAGATTTTACCTTTATACATTGCTTGTTCAACAACACAGATTTGCAATTACTGCTTTTATGCAGCTGTCTTTTAAAACAGGAGGAAAAGTTACAAACCAAAATATATCTGTGCCTTCTTACACTGACTTGCGTAGCTACCTTTACTGGCGCTGTTTATTTTTCATGTAGACTCAAGCCACGGCTCTGTGTCCTTCCGTTTCAGCCTGACAGGTCCCCCAGTACTGACCAACTCTCCGTTTTGTTTCTCTCGGAGCATCTTCATTGCACCTTCACCCCTGAAGGACGGATTTGTTACAGGATTCTTAACTGGCAGTCCCTTTCTTTTAATATGTCATTTTACTGACTTCGTCCTGCATGTACCTGATGTTTTTAGTGATCAATCGTTTTTCTCTTAAGTTTTTTTCTGTCTTGACTTCTGACAGTTTGATTATAATATGTCTAGACGCGGATGTCTTTGCATTTATATTACTTGAAGCTAGGTGAGTTTCTGAGACGCAGTGTTTTCAGCACTCGGGGAATTTCACTATCATCGTATCCTCTGTGTCACTCTCTCTTCTCCTTACCTCTCCATTGTGCATACACTGGCGCAGCGCATGATGTTTCGCAGGTCTCTGAGGGTAATTATCATCCTTTTCCCTTCTTTTCTCTGCTCCTCAGCGTGGGTAATCTCAGCTGGCCTCTCCTCAGCTTCACTCACCTTCTCCACTGCTCAAATCTGCTGTCCAGTCCCTTAGTGAATATTTCATGCTGCTATTATGCCTTTCAACCCCAAAATTTCTATTTGGTTCAATAGATAGTTATCTGTAGTTCTCTGAATAGTTAAAACAGTTCAAAGGTCTTCTCCTTTCATGGCCAGATACAGGAAGAACATCATGGAAAGCAGCCTCCCCGGCTCATGCTGCCCACAGCCTGGCCACAACAGGGACCATTATAAACAGCTGAGGGTTCTGATTTTTTCTAAACATGGGATTAGTTGTTTCCCTGCTGCAAATACTTTCAATCCTTTGTATGGGACAGAAAGATCATTCAGAAAGCCAGTGCATAATCTTGAGTAAGGACTAAAATGTAACAAGCACACTGCGGGGAAGCAAAGCTGTTAGTCACGGGGAGCACCAGAAGGAAGCCCCACAGCCCCCTGTGCCGGCTGTGGCACTGCCAGCCAGGGAGCACCAGGAAGGAAGCCCCATAGCACCCCCATGCCGGCTGTGGCACTGCCAGCCAGGGAGCACCAGGAAGGAAGCCCCACAGCCCCCTGTGCCGGCTGTGGCACTGCCAGCCAGGGAGCACCAGGAAGGAAGCCCCATAGCACCCCCGTGCCGGCTGTGGCACTGCCAGCCAGGGAGCACCAGGAAGGAAGCCCCACAGCCCCCTGTGCCGGCTGTGGCACTGCCAGCCAGGGAGCACCAGGAAGGAAGCCCCACAGCCCCCTGTGCCGGCTGTGGCACTGCCAGCCAGGGAGCACCAGGAAGGAAGCCCCACAGCCCCCCTGAGCCGGCTGTGGCACTGCCAGCCAGGGAGCACCAGGAAGGAAGCCCCACAGCCCCCCTGTGCCGGCTGTGGCACTGCCAGCCAGGGAGCACCAGAAGGAAGCTATGCAGCCACCATGTGCCAGCCACGGCCACACCACCCAGGGAGAAGCGCAGGAGGCCGCCCCACTGTGAGCCAGCCGACACACCCAGGCGGGGAGAAAAGATCCTCCCCTGACCCATAAGTTACCAGCTGATTCAAAGGAACACAGCCTGAGATGATGACAACTGAAGTAAAGAAACAGCCTAACATTTGTATTGCTTGATTGATTTGTGCAAATCCAACTATTTAGAGGTTAACAATATGTAATATAGTAACTATTGTGAATTTCCTACTGTCTTATCACTGTTTTATTTTTTCTTTTTATTGTTCTGCTTTATTTGCTTTGAAATAAAGAAAATGCGTAAGTCATCTGTGTAACACTAACAAAAAACTTTAATAAAATATTAAGAAACAAGGCTAGTAACATTAAAAAACATTATTGTCTATAATATTTCAGAAAGCCAATCTCATATAACATTTAAAATCAGTTACCACAAAATTTTTAAAAAATCATGTTTATCTCACTAGCTACATAAAACTATTTGATAAAATTCAATGTCATTCATGTTAAAAACTAGGTTTACTGTTTTCTCACTAAGGTTGGAAATAAGGAAAGGATATGTTTATTAGCATTTCCAGCTAACTTGTGAGTGGTGTCCTAAACCAATACAGTTAAGCATGAAAGCAAATACAGAATGCATTACATGGATGTGACCACCTGCAAAAAAACACAAAGGAATCTATAAACCATTATAATTATTGAGGTCCTGAATATGGGGTCAATGCACAAACTTAATTAGTTTTAGAAACAATCAATGAGTAATTAGAAACTAAGAAACAACAACTATTTTCACACACAAAGAGTTATCAAATATTGAGAAATAAGTCTAACAAAGGATGTATAAGCCTGTACACAGAGAATTACACAATGTTTAAAAAAGCACTTTAAGGACCTAAATGCCACATTCAAAGATGAGAAACATCAATACAAAAGTGATTCTAGAAAACAACATGGGAAAATGCCTTCCAGAACTGAAGGTAGAGAAAATGTCTTACATAATACAAAAACCTAAGATAAACGACAAATGCTAAACTGGATATAATAATTAAAATGTCTCTTCAAAACACATCATTAGACGGATGAATAGATGGGCCGGGTTATAACTTAGCAGCACAAAGCCTGCCCAGCAGGAGTGAGGTTGTGAGCTCACCTAGTACAAAAAAAAAGTTCTGTAAGCCAGGTGTGGTAGCACACACCTGTAATCCCAGCACTTGGGAGGCCCAGGCAGGAGGATCATTGGAAATTTGAGACCAGCCTGGGATAAAAAGTAAGCTCAAGGTCAGGTTGAACCATATAGCAAGACCCTGTCTCAAAGAGACCAAAAAAAAAAGAGGAAAAGGCAATTCCCAGGGAATAAAAGGTGATTATAATACATACATTCAACAAAGATTTATAAAGAGTTACTAGAAACAATAAAGAGGAGAAAAGATAATAAAAAGGGTACAAGTGATATAAATAAAAAGTTTACAAAATAATTAAGTGTGAAAATATACTCAGCATACCACTAGACACCCCCTAGAATGACTAAAATCAAAGACTAAGAACAGAGAAGGCTGACAAGGATGAGGACCAACTAGAACTACCACTGTGACAGGAGTTTAGTACAACCACTCTGCAAACATGTGTAGCCATCAGGTTAGCTGGATACAGGCACACCCTTGGTCCAGCAATATCACTCCTAGGAATATGCTCAATGGGAATGAATGCACACTGGAGAACACTTACAATTACGTTCTTCAAAATCGTATTCATAATAGCCTCAAAGTCCAAACAAAGCACCTATGTATCTAGGAATGCTAGCGTGGACAAACAGTTCATGCGGTGAACAGCTTACACCAGTAGTGGCAGCCCCTTCAGAGCTATCAGTGATACAAACGGCCCACTGCGGCATGCATGGTGGCCAAACATGCCACCCTGGTGGCCAAACATGCAAGCAGCAGAATTGTTTGAGGCTCCTCACAGATTACCAGGTCTGATCCTCAGAGCTTTCTGTTCAGAAGGGTGGAAGCCTGCACTAAGACAAGTCTTACTCTACAGACAGCAATGAAAAGTAACATGTTATAGGAGACGCAACCATGGGAAAAGGCACAGACACAGGGTTGCACCAAAGAGTACACACTGCATGATTGCATTTAAAAAGCTAAAACCAGGCCAGATTAACCTATGGTATAGGACAGGGCTTATCTTGGGTAGATTCTGACTTGGAGGAGGCAGGAAGAAAACTCCTAAAATCCTGGAAACATTCCACATGTGGACTGGGTGGTGGCTGCACAGGTGTCTGGTACAGTGGCAGCCCAGACGAACCACTGTTTCTGCCTGAGATCTGGGACTGATCCTGACACCCCAGGGTGTGACTGAAGTGACTCGGTACTCAGTTTAAATAAAGTCTTCACCATTGTTGTGAGACAGACATGGCAATGCTCATCACTATGGGAGGCTGAGGAGTAAGAACTGCAAATCTGAGCCCCGAGAGGCAACTTAGCAAGACAATATCAAAACTAAAAAACAGTGTGGTGAATGTAGCTTTGTGCAAAAGCCTCGGGTTTAATGCCTAGCACTCCTCCCCTCAAAATAGCCCTGGGGGCCTTTGTATTTGTACACACAGCAGCGTTATCATCTGGATCCAATCAGGATCACAATAATTAGGAAAGAACACTTTTAACGGCTAAGAGGGCTTTCAGTAACAAGGGTATGCCTAGTAGGATGTTACGGTTTGTGTTTGGATGGCCACCCCAAGCCCCATGCGTCATACAGGCGGCTGAGTCCAGTCTGTGATTGGTTCCTTGTCTGTGCTGGGATGGGGGTGTGAGTGCTGCCCCCGTCCAGGGCAGGGAGCCAGCACACAATACAGGGAGGGAAGGAGGCTGCTCTCCCCTTTTACTCTGTTCACTCTTATTGCTTGAGGTCACCATGAATTTGGCCCCTCAGCCACACCCTGCCTTGGAGCCAGCTGAGTGTAAACTAAAACCTCCAAAAACTGCTAAATAAATCTTTCCTTTTAGGTGTTGGGCTTTGTCCCAGCAATGAGAAAAAAATAACCAAGATATAAGAAAAAAGAGAAATTCTACATAATACAAAAAGAAAAAAGGAGTAACTACTCCCTCTCGGGTACTGACAGCACTTGGGGCAGAGCTCCTCCTCCCTCCCAGAAAGACCCAGACCTGGATGAGGAGTGAACTCCTGTGGCTGAGAAGGGCCACTGCTACAGTCAGAGTAACCTAGGAGCCACCCCCAGAAAAGCTGTGAGTGCCACGAGGATCTGGCCAGTGGGCATTCAAGGACCAAGAAACAAAACCTGCTCCTCTTGCAACGTTTCCTCAGTGCCTACCATAGGTAAAGATCAAAATTAGAGCTGGCAAAGGAAACTATCTAAACAGCCTGGCTCAGTTTTCAGAGAACAGGCAGAGAAAAGGTGAATCTGGAGCTGAGAGGCAATGTACTCCTCCAAGCAGGAAATCAATCTCCCTGCTGCAAAGGCCACATGAAGAGACCACTAAAAAAGACAGAGTAGAAGGACAGGTTCTAAGACCTTACACACACACACACACACACACACACACAAACACACACACACACGGGGGGGGGGGGGGAGTGGACAGCACAGCAAACCCAACCCAACAGCCTGCAAGCTAACTGCAATATTGGGGCCTCAGATTGAAGAATGGTTGTGGTTTATGCTGCAAGGGCTTGTTACACAGTTTTAAAAACCAAAACAAACTGTTTCTGTTAATGTCTGTTTCAACTATCAACTGCCCAAACCATTCTCAAACTTTAGAAGCATAAAACATGATCATTAATTTGCTCATGCTTTTGAGATCTGAGGAGAGCTCAGGTCAGAACAGACAGTCTGCTTAACTGAGTCCGGAGGATCCACTTCCAAGATAGCTCACTTACACAAGGAGCACATAGCTGCTGGTGACTGACTATTAGCTAGGAGCGGAGCCAGAGGTGATGGGTGATGGGTGATGGCTGGGTCCTCAATACCCCAGCAGCTGGCCTCTCATGTCTAGACTGCATTTATCATAGCACAGTGGCTGTGTCCAAAACGCATGCATTCCAAGAGGGAGTTTCAAGAGTACAAAACCTACTGTACACACGTCTCAAGGCTTTTCTCCACCCATGGAGGGATGACAGGCATGAAACATGAAATGACACAACAGGCCCATTCTTCTTCCTCGTTTCACTCTGTTCAATGTAAATATATCTTGTTGCTTATGGTGTGTGTGTGTGTGTGTGTGTGTGTGAGAGAGAGAGAGAGAGAGAGAGAGAGAGAGAGAGAGAGATGATATCTGATACCTCATAAAATCTTATTGGCTGGGCAGACCACCCCTAATGATGAGGGGAATGGGTAGTAAATTGCCCAGCTAGAAGCCACTAATATGCAAACTAAGCAGCCCAGAGCCACACCCACTCCATTTGGCCATCCACGTAGGAGGCAGCATTCCTCTGTATTATCGCCCCCAAGGCCAGGCACTGGTGACACAGGGCTGTGCCCTTAGCTTGGAGTCTGTAAATCATTTGTTAGTCCTGAGCTCTCACCCCAATGCTCCTTGACTTTGCTGCAGAAACCTCCGGAAAGCCCGTGGTCCAGCACCTTCCCTTGCTGCCGGCTCCCACCTTGTGGCCAGCCTACAGCCTCCCTCATGCAGCCCTGCCTGGAGGGTCGTGTCTCTTGCACCTGTGTCTATACAAAGCAGGATCTTCCTGGACCTTTCTGTGACCTCTTATACCCAAATCTCACAAAGAAGAAACTGTAACTCAAAACAATTAGATGAACCCATATTTACGGATGTGAGCTTAAGAGCAGACTTTAGGAAGTTTTTCTGTTGCTTAGGAAATACGGCTTTATATGGACTAACATGCTGCTAACGAAACCTCTGAATCAGTGATGAGGAACCTTTTAGAGATGAGCACTCCAACTGCAACCCAGAACCCACGTACTTGTTACAAAGTAACAACACTGTAATTAAACCTGAATACTGAGGATTTAGTTTAGGAAAAACTCTATAGTGGCATCTTTTGTCTTAGAAGAAAAACACAGTGTGGGCCATCCATTTGCCACCAGTGCTCCAAGTCATTTACAGAATCAGAGGAACATATGTGTTGGAACTGAAATAGTATGTTCTAGGACTGATACCTCAAATATGCCACTTAGGCAGCACTGTCACATTTTGTTAAAATGTAAGTCCATGAAGCTGTTTCCTGATCCTGTCTCTGACCTTGTAGCAAGTACACAGTAAAAATCACGGATGTTCACAATGCCTTATGATTGACTGGAAATCTTTACTTTATGTGTGGATAATTTTCTCAAACCAGAAAGTAAAAACATTTATTTTGCTTAAAAATCAACTGCATGCAATCCCTTTTCGGGTCAGCACGTTTCTCACCGGCGTATGAGACTCACCTGTGCGCGGCTTCCCAGGCCTCCTCCTCCTCCAAAAGGTCCCTGATGATGTCCGAACTGGAGCTAGAACGACACAAGCATCAGCACCGCCGGATGATGAAACCGCATGGCTCCACTTACACAGTTCTAGACAGTACCCACGCAGGCCGGTGCCAGCTGCCTGCACCAGGCACTGGGCTGGGCAAACGAGGGTGCCAAGGTGGCACGAGGACACGTGGGGTGGTGGGAAGATGGCTTCAAAGCTGCACCCACACGTGGAAACTCAACCACACTGCACTCTAAACACTGAAGTACATGGGATTTGAATTTCAGTAAGGCATAAAAATAAATTATCATCATGAAAAAATTACTAAAGCTCAAATAAATGCCTCCCATAAAACCTAGATCTAAATGGAATACCGTCAGGAGACTTTTTACTTCTCTGTATTAACCAAAGATCAGATTGTGTTTTATTAGTCCACAGCACCATGGGGAAAAAATTGAAAATTAACTTCTAACAATAAGATTCTTAAGAGTTCCAAAGTAGCTTTTGGTCTCTTTGTAACCAAAGAAAATTAATTTGAACACTGCTGATAATGATAATGAGTTGTAAGTGCAATCTAGCTTAAGGAACTGTATCTGTGGCCTTAATGGAAATAGAACAAACTGGGCTGGGGATTTAGCTCACTGGCATAAGTGCCTGCCTTGCAAGCAGGCAGTCGTGAGTTCGATCCCTGGTACCAAGAAAAACGAAAAAGACAAAAAAAAAGAAAGAAATAGAACAAACTGTATCAAGTCTTTTAGCATCTTGTTCTGTCTCAAATCAATACAAAATTATTTTTAGAAAGGATATGCATATATCGATATCAAAAAGGCGCTTCTCCTAGACATTCAGCACACACAACGCCATGAACACTGAATGGAACAACCCAGATGGGACTCTCCTACTCGGAGGCGTACAGAAGACTGAAACAGATTCCATTCTCTCCTAGGTAAGAGACAGCAGACTTGGAGATGTGCATGCCAATCATGTTTTAATGGTCTCTAGTAACAGCAAAAGCTTAAAATTATGAAGATTAAAGTACTAACAAATCATTCTCAAACACTTCTGACCAATCACGGTTTTGTTTTTAAGGCATAAGGGAGTTTATTGGATTCCACATACTCTCAAAGTGAACAGAGTATGGCCCTCAAAAGAGAGAGAGGCATTATGGCCTGGCACTGGATGGAAATCAGTGAAGTTTCTAACAAATATTCTGTAGGAACGAAAGGCCCATGGATTCAGTAAACACAGTTGAGGGCTTCCCCGTCAAGCTCCCGACATTCTCGGGGGGCTACAGGCAGGGCCCCTCTGACTGTGACTCCCGTGCCATGGTTTAGGTGCATTTCCTCTCTAACGTATCTCACCCCCGGTTCCTGGACTTTGCAGGACACGAGGTCATGTGGAGGTAACAGTGCTTCTAGAGTCTGAGAAAAAAGTAATGATAAAGAACAATTCTACATTCAATAATACCTTTAGTGTGTGTTTATTCAGTATAGCAGCACATGCAGGTTTTTAAAATAGCAGTTCTGTTTTGCCCAGAGACGATTCTCCTCTGTGTGCCCGTGCACTGTGTGTGCCCCTTGAGCCCCTGGGTGGGGAACCGGACCCCGCTGTTCCTTCGCACCTGCTGCTCTGGCACTGGGACGGGCCCTGTGCAGCAGCCAGTGTTCCTGAGAGCAGCTGGCCAGGGATGTGTCATCTGTTTTACCTAAAGCTGGCTAGACAGGCTTCTCCATTAAACCACTAGCTAGACATAGTTTTTATTAAGGAAGCAGGATGAAAAGTGGAAGACCCTGAAGGACATTAGCAGATTTCGCCAGCTTTGGCACTGTCCTGAGAGGCAGGAGGAGAGGATCCCATTCACTGCCACCCCACGCACACAATGGTCCTGAGGCTCCCCACTCACAAGACGCCAGGGCCTGTGCCTCCTTACTTCAGAGACAACTGCTCCAGTCCGCAGAACACAGAAGCTGCTTTAACCTAACCTGTCCATCCCAAGCCATCCATTCTTCACTGCCTGGTAGAACTAACAGAGGCATTTCTCAATCTTTTTCATTACTGTTCCCCAGAGGAGCCTTTTTAGATTTCTCCCCCACCCACTCATGCACTTTAACACCATAAAGTCTGTCCTTTTGCATATTGTGTGTGTGTATCTGCACTTTGCATATAAAAGCAGTAAGATTTCTTTTTCATCTATCCCACAACCAGGTCTCTCATTTGAGCACTGCTGGGGATTGGACCAGGCCCCCACCACTGAGCTACACTTTAACTCAAAACTTTTATCTTGAGTTTACCCACTCAGCTGTTCGGGCTGGCTCTGAACTTGCAATCTCCCTGCCCCAGCCCTTGAGCAGCTGGGATTACAGGAACGCATCACCCTCCTGCCACCATTCTCACTCCCTAGGGAAAAAAGCTATCATTAAAAAGATTACTAGAAAAATATTTTGTGGCAATATTGAATTCATAAATGTCACGTTGGAGGGCGCACAGGGTCTTGCTATGTAGTTCAGGCTGGTCTTGAACTCACTATGTAGCACAGGCTGGCCTCAGACCCTTGGCAATCTTCCTGCCTCAGGGGGAGGATCTGGAGTGCTGGGATTACAGGTGTCTCATAATGCCCAGTTTACATTTTTAAACTGAAAATCTAGCTGTAATGTCAAGCCTAATAACAATTATGAAGATCTTAAAAAATACCCCGAATTACTATAAACACAAATTACAGTTTACTGTTCAATTATTTTGGTTTGCTAACATACTGTTTTCTTTAGTTTGACCAGAAACACTTATTTAGTGTTTTTAGTATTTTAGTAATTATTCCAGCACTATATAAATTACAAAATCCCTTCTGTGTATCTCTATCTTTACTGTCTGCACCACCGACCTCTACTAACCCATTCATAATAACGTCAATGTGACGGTGATTTCCACAACTTTGCAAGTACTGCATTTTTTAAAAACAGATTAATGTATTTTATGTGGTTCAAAATAAAAAATGACGTGAAAAGTTCCATTCCTTCCTTTCTTCCCACCCACCTCTTTCCCCTTTATCTCCAAAATGAAACCACTTTTATTAGCTTTTTATTTTTTATTAGTGTGCTTTATGTAAAACAAAAACTAGCATACAATGTTTTCTCTTATCAGGAAAGAAATAGGATGCTGTATAATCTTTGTTCTGAATGTTGATCCTTTGATTACTAAGGCATCCTGGAAATTTCCACTAGCACTTAATCTTCCTTTTTTAATAACCACGTAGTGTTTCAGCATGTGGATGTATGGCACCACCTCAGCCTCCACTGATGAAGAACTGAGTATTTTCTAGTCTCTGGTTATTATAAAGAATAATGCAATGGATAACTCTGTATGCCACATACAGGCATACAGGTATTTCTGCAGGACAAATTCACCCAAGTACTGAGTAGAAGTCAATAATGGCACTTTGCGGCGATTCCTGTCCTCATGGATTGTGACAGGGCATCTTAGAGTGCCCATTCCCCACAGTGCTGCTCTCAAACATGATGACGGATGCTAACCTCGGAGCCACACAGCACGGAATATACTTGAAATCACAGCAGTTGAGAGGCTGAGGCAGGAGGGCTGACATGAATTGAAAGCCATCTTGGGCTACATAGTGACATCCTTTCTCAAAATCCAAACCAAAACAAAAGATGCTTGCTGCCTCATAGGTGAGAAATAATTTCAATTTGTACTTAGCTTTTCACAAACTGTTGATGATTTTTCTCAATTTTTTTACTATGTTTGTGTACACTCAAAAAAATAACCACTCCTAAATGTTTTTTAAAAGACTATTAAATCTCTGAAAATAAGAAAAAAAGGATCCCTTTATTTCTTGCCACAAATATGTGTACTAAATTATACCATGATTTCTACAACAAGAACTATTTCCAGATCTGGGCATCCTAACAGAATAACTGGTCTCAAGGGGTTTTGTTGTTGTTGTTGTTGTTGTTGTTTTTTAAAGATCTAGTTCTGAAAAGTAATCTGAAAAAGTTCTACAATAGCCAAATTTGTTCCCTCTTTTCTGGCTACCCCAACCCACACAGGTCCTGCACCCTTGTCTTTCACATGTTAATATTCAAGCCTTTCAACTATATCCGGGCAAGCCTTCTTCTGAGCTGGTCTTAGTTACTTTTTTTCATTGCTGAGACAAAATACCAGATGGCCAAAGCTTAAGAAGGAAAAGTGTATTTAGCTTCCAATTTGTAGAGAGGTTTCAGTCCGTAACCAGCTGCTCCAGGGCAGGTTAGCTTTGCAGAGGAGAACAGTTTGTGGTGGGCAGAAGACAGCAAAAGCAACAGCCAAACCTAATAGCATCTTCCTGCCCCTTCATACTCTGTCTAGGCTTCTGGTATTAGAGCGGTGCCTAACCAATCAGTGAAGGGATCACACACCCTGAATCCCAGCAGCACACACTCTGGATTCCGCCACCTCTGAAAAGCTTGACAGCGAGAGGCTTTGCGGGGCATCTGGACACAAACCATAACAGGACCCTGAACTGCAGAATCAGAGTTTCCTACCTAGAGGAGATTTAGCTCTCATTAAAAAAGGATATTCCCAAGTTAAACATCATCCATTTAACATATGTACTGAAACCTTTTCACACTTAAATACAGTGATACCTCCATTGTCAAACGGCTCCAGGCTCGAAATTCCCACTACTAGACCAGCAAAGCTTAAAAAAAAAAAAACCAACAACAACAAAACAAAAAACCCCACTCCATGTTGGTAACTTTGCTCAGTGGTAGAACCAAAAATCCGACTTGAAAACTCCTGTACAGACCGAGAGTCACTGTGACGCGGACACAGGGGCTGCTGCTCTCACCCTGACAGCATACAGAGCTTGTGTTAGTCTTGAAACACTCCACGTGGGGTCTTTTTTTGGCATTTTATTTGCATAAAATAATGTAAACATGGCTCCAGAGAAAGTCAGTGATACTAGCACTAAACCTAAGAAGAGTTAAAAAAAAATCTCTGCAAAATGTGATAAAGTATTGAAAAAATGAATTTTTAAGTGTAAATCTGG